CCCCAAAACCCCAAAACCCCGTAATGGCAAGATTATGAAATTAAGATTAGCTTAAATATAAATCAAAATATATATTCTTTCTGTATCATTTTTAATCTCTAACCGTAAGTATCTGAACTAAAATGATCGATGGTATTTTTCTTGTTTGTGCTTTAGTAATCAGACTAAGTTCTTGTGCTCTTAATACTTGAGTGGTACAATTAATTTCTGCTGACATCTTAATCAGATTGTTTCACATTATAGTAAACTGGCTTTTAATTAGAATAGGCTCTACTTATACTGTCAAGGATGTTTGATGAGTAATCACCCATCTCTCTGAAATCCTAATATTGCTTTAGCTATTAGGCATCTGATTATTAGATTATTATAGTTTTATTTATTTAATTTTAGCTATTTACTTGAGTCATCCCAGATTTGACAAATGGGGATAAGCTTCTGCCTTTTTACACTTCCTTAGTTGATTGAATGCTTATATATTCATTTTATGCGTGTTGAATATTTTTATTGATAGTGTCCTAATCCAACTTTTGATTAATATTCTGAATAGTTCTACTTATAGCTCTTTTTTTCTGAGGAATAAAGTTATCTTTTATATTAGAAAGCTAATTGAAATCACCACTATTTCGCTTTTTTAAAGTATAGTCAGCTAGCTTCTCTCGATTTTCATTTTTTTCTTCAACTGCTTGCGTATCATTAGTAATTAACTTGCTATCATTTAAATTTGATTTGATTCCTATATTAAGTCCCTAGTACATATTAATTTTAATTCTTTTCTCTTAGTCTTCATCTCTAAATCTAGCAATTTTGACAACTGGTTTTTAAATGTTAGATTAAGACTAATCTAAAAATCTATCTCTATAGCCGAATTGATAGCTCATTGACGCCTCTTTAGAAAGTTCCTATTCCCTGCTATATTAAGAAAATTTCAATTTCTCCATTTATCACTCATCGTATGGAAGATCTATTTAATCTTCTTTCTGACTTAGGATTTATTGGCTTAATGAACTATTTTTCTCTGATTGATACTAATTCTAATCGTTATTATCTCCGGACTATTTTGATGGTTTTTTTCGAGAATCGAAATCAATCAATATTCCCACTTTATGAGTGAAAATAGGTAGCTACTTCTCATCTTTCTCAACTCTCCTATGATTTCTTTTCTTTATTATATAATCATTAACGTCTTTCTCCTCCTAATATTTCTGATTTTCAATTTCCTCCTCATATTAATTGATTTTCTTGAAGGGTACTCGCACATCATCTAATCCCACGAATCTAAATTTCTTAACAATATCTTATCGCTGCCTCTTTTTGAATTTCCAGTCTAATATATATCCCTCTGTCTTTTAATCTCGCTGATTAGAGGCATCTTCAATCTTTTTAGCGTAATTTTTCTCTGGAAAATCGCCAGTATTCATAAAATAGAAATCCTTTGGCTACTTTATAGTCTTTGCTAATTTTGACTTGACCTATCGATTTTCTAAATTTTCATATTACTAATAAAGAGAAGGTTAGTTATTAAGGTAACTTTGGATTATTTCATATTCAAGGATTTAAGAGCAATTTGGTCTCTTTAGTGGATTTTTCATGAGTAGCTTTTTTATCAATCTGTTTATATCTTAGGAAAATTCTAGTGGTATATCTATAGGTTAATCATGTACTATTGAATTCGCAAGAAGTTTCATATCATCGCCGTTAAAAGGTGGGTAATAAGAGAGCATTTCAAAAAGAATACAGCCAAGAGACCAAATATCAACAGCCAAATATTATGGTGTTTAAAGCCATATTTCTGGTCCTGCGTAATATGGTGTGCCAGTTTGAGTTGAACCAAATTATCCTTTTAAAATCTTCGCAACATTCATGTCACCAATTTTTATTTGCTTTTTCTTGGTCATAAATACATTTGCTGACTAGAATTAAACAATTTATACTTTATATAATAATTACCTTCAAATCTCGATGAATAATTTTAAGAGAATGAAGAGCACTGAGACCCTTAACAATTTAAACAAATATATGTAAAGCCTCATCTTCAGGCATTAGTTTGTTACTTTCTTCGAGATATTCTATATACTCCTGCAAATTTCCACCATCAGCATATTCTAATATTATACTTGTGATTTATGGATACTTCAATTAATTTACCACAATGAGTTATCATTCTTATCAACGAAAGCTTCTTTGTAACCGATAACATTCGGATGATCAATTGATGCCAAAACTCTTACTTCATTTAAGGCATTTTTAATTTCAATTCCTTTATCTGTTCCATCATCTTTAAGTCTTATCTAAATTTCCGGATAATATGATGATGCTATTTTATACCTTTTTCATTGCGTAAATTTGCTAATCCCTTTTTCTGATAACTTTATACACTGTACCGAATGAGCCTTTACCTAACTCTTTCAAAACTTTAAATTCATTCATTTAATTATTTATCAATAAATTATAAAATATCCCATAGTTTAGCTAATGATCATGAGTAAAGGGGTTTTGGGGTTTTGGGG